TAGTAACAAGTGCCTTACTAGTAGTAACAAGAAGCTATTAGAAACAAGGTTCGCTATTAGGAACAAGTGCATCGCTTCTAGTAACAAGTGCCTTACTAGCAGCAACAAGAAGCTATTAGAAACAATGTTCGCTACTAGGAACAAGTGCATCACTCTCAAACTGCTAAGACGTGTGACTGAACAGTCTACACGTTCATCTCACCTTCCAAAGCCTAGCCGCTCACACCTCGTTCCCTCTAGGCATGGGGATGAGCGAGATCTAGTCTTCCTTGAGGAAAAACAAACGAGCGCCCTGATCCACGCGTCCCTGAGCTCAAGCGTTATGAAACAACTAGGTTCATTGAACACAACGAAAACCAAGCACAAGAGAATTGAGAGCTGCAGGGGGATCTATCACGAATCAGAACACTGAGACTCACTCCCCCCCCACCGCTCCCTGCAGCCGAAACCACAGGGAGGGCAGGGTGGGAAAAATCTGAAAGCCTGGGCGATCACCCTTCTCGCCAAAATGGCATCGGCGATGTGATCACATCAACTTATGAAAGATAACGATAGTTAAGAAAGGTGATCTGAACCGCAGTAGAAGAGTAACCCCTGTATCCCAGACCTGCCTAACCAAAGATACAGAACCTACTCTCAAACTGCTCTAGGCATGGGGATGAGCGAGATCTAGTCTTCCTTGAGGTAAAACAAACGAGCATCCTGATCCACGCGTCCCTGAGCTCAAGCGTTGTGAAACAACTAGGTTCATTGAACACAACGAAAACCAAGCACAAGAGAATTGAGAGCTGCAGGGGGATCTATCACGAATCAGAACACTGAGACTCACTCCCCAGGCCCTGAACTTACCCGGTGAGGCCATTTGGCCAACGAGCGTCAACTGACAGCCAACCAGCCGCCTCTCCTTTGAGAAGATCGTTTCGAGACGGCCAGTCGGCCGGATTTGCATCCGTTGAGACTCTGTCAATGAAAATTCTGCATTTCAAAACCAGAGCGAGATCCCAAAAGACCGAAATGATTGAACAAACGTCCTCACGGCTGGAGTAGCCCTTCACCAGAGCTGCTTCCACGGCTTCAGAGTCGATTAGTAAAATGACGTCTGCGCCGACGAGCCGTTCTTTGAACGTTTCCAAGGCTAAGACCGGCGCCAACATTTCGATTGGTATGATCTGCGTCGTTCTTGGGATCCACCGTCGACTCACGCTCTTTGGTACGACCGCCGTAAACTGACGGGGGTGAGCCAACCGTCGATCGAACAACGCAGCACCTACATGATCGGGCAACCTATCCACCTTTGGGGTCCTAGGATCGGGAGTAAAACCATCTGTAAAGATCACAGCATCAGACTTCTTAGGAACTTGACGATCGATAGTTCTGGTGGACCTTGATCCACTAACTTCAGCCACTGTTTCAAAGCGACTCGAAGTGGGGGGTCCAGACCGAATTTGGGCCCGATCGGAAAACGCATGTATTGCCTTTCAGAGATCACCCGAAGGTAAGCCCTGCCGACCTTTCCCCACAGCTGAGAAGCTCCAAACATCAACTTCCCTTTGAGCTTCCCTGCTGTACCTGGGTCTAACAAGTCAGAACTGAGTATCGATCGAATTTCGGAAATCAGATCTGCTTTGCGATCTTCTTTGATTTCGAGCTGCATCTGAGCTAGGTTGTAGGTCACCCCTAAAATTGTGGGTGACTCAGACAACTGCAGCTTTTTCTGATCAAACTTTGCCCCTAGCCATGTGTGAACACACTCAGCAGCCAGTCTCGCTGAGGCGACTGACTCCACTGGCTCGAACCCGTATTTGTCATCGTAAAAACTGAACGCAACAAGCCCAAACAACTTGACCAGGCACTCATTAATTGCGGCAGACCTCCTATTATAGTTATAAACTGTGGAGACCAAGCCGAACGAATGCCCGATCATAACGAAAAAAGCTGTTCGAGCGGAACACGGGTCCTTGAGGCAAATAACCGAAAATTTTCTCTTACTGCAACTTGTCGATATGCCTTTCTCTCATCGAGAACCCAGCCTGCAAATTTGCCGAGCGGCATTGTAGACCTAAGCATTCGGAGAGCCGAAACGTTCGTATCTGTGGACGGCAACTGGAGCTTCTCGGTGATATCAGTCACCTGGTTGATCATGCTGGTGGTTGCACTATCACAACCTCTGACCTTCTTCTTTTGAACGACCTCGAACCGCTGCGTCGGTATCCAGTCCTCGCAGGCCAAGAACTCTGAAACTTCTGCCTCAGTGAACCATGGGCCTTTACAGGAGCCTTCGCTGCAGTCTTCGATCGTTGCATCCCAGATCTTTTGGAGGTTCTCTGATATGGGCACTGACTGAACTCGTTGAACAATCTTTCTTCTCAGATCCCAGGCCCTCTGCAACGCGTCCGTCACGGGGAGCGCTTTTTGAGGAGTGTCATAGGGCGGCCATCGACCTGAGCGTTGGATAGGCCCGACGATAGGGAATCCACGGAGAAGATCCTCTGGGAGATGTTGATCAACTGAGCCACATTGCATTGAGCGTTGCTTCATACAGAGCGACATGACAAACTCGACCAAGCACTGGAGCCGCCTCAGCATCGCCCCCAAGCAGGAGGGTGCGGAGTGCAGCATCTGGCTGAGCAGCAATACGCTGTAGTGTGAGCGGCATCAAGCGGTGAGCTTCAGCCTCCCAAAATGCCAGCGCAGCGACACGCTGAGCCACGATCGTCTCTGGGCTGAGCGCGAGCTGGCGCACAGCAGTCTCCAAGTAGGGGTCCAGATGCGCAGGGGTGGAGAACGGATGAGTGACATTGAGCGCCCACTGAATGGCGGCGCCCGGCTCCATCTCTACTTCCAAGAGCGGCTTGAGGGCTCCTCGCTTGAGCTGGTAGCCGGAAGACAAGGCCTTCTGAGCAGATGCCTCTTGACGGTGCTCAAACTATCGAGAAGGCAGGCCGAGCGGCCGCTTGCGGTCTGCGGCCGGAGTCTTCAACTGGAATGACTGCTGGAACTGCACTAGATCGTCTTGCCAAAGTTGTTGAACACCCAACGCGATGGTCGCACAGCGTGCATGTGGGTACTCTTGAGCCAGTTTGGTCCTAAAGACGACCTTGCGACGTTTGGGATTCCAAACTTTGCCTTGAAGACGCTCATGAACATGGTCACCTGCAGGGCAAGTCATGCAAACATCCGCGAGCGCTTCACAAAAGACTCGCAGCCGTGTGGGCTTCAAAGAGGGAGCCCCGAATGCACATTGATCGAAATCAAGATCCAAAGTACGAGCGACTCGCTGCAGAGCAACCATCGAGGGTGTAGACCACAGCAAACTCAACAATGGATTCTCGATCGAGAAATTAGCCGCTTGAGGTTGATCAATCTGCACGACCCTGAGCAAGTCCTCAGCATTGCGACTAAGACCCGATTTCTGAGCGATCTGCTCGTTGCGCGTGCGCATCTCACCGACCTCATAGAAGTTGACAGCTCCGTGCACCAGAAAGTCTCGT